ATTTCAACTTACGTAGAAGGAAAGAAGACCACACCACATCGCGTCGTTCACTGACTCCCTAAAATAGTAAAATACAATCCTTTAAACGCGAGATATTTGGTATTCAAAAATTGTATGGCCTGTGCTGTAATCCACCAGGTGTTTATGGTATCACTGATAAAGAAACTGATTGGCGTTATTAAATCATTTATTAAATATAAATAAATTTATATTTAGACCAAAGTTCGCAGTAGACTAAAACAAGTTTATTTGAGATAAATTTCCTTTTTTCGAGAATACTATGCTATACTCGTTCAGAGATAGAATGACGATGCCTTTAGTATTTCTCTTTATTTGTTTAGTCATCAGCTTTTGGATTTATATGGTGCTCAAGATAGTGATTTATTCTATCTCTCTGATATCTCTGCAAAGCACCATCGTATCGTGCGGCAGACATATTTGCAGCAAATCGCTATTATTTATAAAACGTCAAGCAGTGACTGAGGTTTTGGTATGATTTATTTTCAAGAATGTTCCCTTTCTTTTAAAATGATTTTAAAAATCTTAATAAGAAGAGATACCAGTTTCCCAAAAGACTGATAATGTCATCAGCTAGCTATTCCAATGATCACTCCCCAAAATAACGCTTATGTTCATTTAGCATATAAGGGCGCCTGCCCAGGTCTCCTATTCTTCATTTCTTTTTTCCGATTTAAATAGGTCCATAAACAATAAATTTCACATATAGAAGTTATCTGACTCTGTTTTCGCAACTTGGTCATATTGGTAGAAAGACCTAAATGAACGCACATAATCCGGAGTCTATAGTATGCTTGATAATTTGCAGAGTTGGTACGTGGACGTGGTGAATTCCCAGATGTTTCGCTGGCATCATCAGTGAGCTTTGCCAGTCTTAGCACCACACCACAACTCGTCAGAGAGGCAAGTGAAGCTGATCCTTTGACCAATTGTCTGCTAAACAATTGTGGTATCTCTCCTTCTGCCTTGGGCTATTCACCAATCTTATATCCTCGTATCACCCCTTCGCTACACAATTTATTCATTGCTTATTCAAATATGATATGGTACGTCCTTTTTAGCGGATTTCATCAGAACTCTCCAAACCACACGCTGGCTTTTTGACTCCCTCACCCCGCAATACTCTTCACATAGGTCTTATTAGAGTCTTCCTCTTACTCCATAGGATCAGCATCCTACCTTCCTGGTTCATGTATTTCAGGTACTGCTCGAAGCGCTATTTCTCACAGTCTCAATCCATTGATGGCACGCCTACTCCCGCCTTGCTTACTAGACCCCTAAAAATCAGGATTCTCAAGCAGGATGAGAGACTAACTTGGGGCTAAAGAGTCCGAGTCATTCTCATGGTCAAGCTTTTGCTTATTGGACCACATCTATGATCAAACACGTATATTGTTATATGAGATGTATAAGTTTCGAAACTACTTATATACCAATAATACATATACTGTTAGCCAACTAGCTCTTGTCTCAGCCACATCTATCCTGCTTCTATCTATAGTGCCAAGCTTATAACTTCCTATGTCCTAGTCTCTTGTGTGCCAACCCGCAAATATTGTAGTTATGCCTTTAACCTAATTAAAACAAGTAGAATGACAACATTTGTGGTTCGGTACACAAGAGACTATGGCATAGGAAGCCATAAACTTGGCACCATTAGCGCAATCACGATAGATGCGGCGGAGACTAGAGTTAGTTGGCTAACAATAGAGGTGTTTGATCATTGACGTGATCCATTAAGCAAAAGCTTAACCATGAGGACTATAAGTTTCAGTGATCTTGTTTACAGTTCCAAAGACGCCTATTCCTATAAATACCAAATCCTCATCTTGATAATGCCATAAAATACCTCTCATCTTACAATATCTATTTGTGGCTATGACAACCCCCAAAATTCACATATCCTCTTACTTTTAGGTCTTTAATTATATATTTCTCTTGTCACTGGCTCTAGGGACAAGTGCTGCCTCTTCACTTGACCCGGATAACAATCCTTTGCTTGATATACGGCAGACTTTGGATTCCGAACTGAATTCACTGGCTCGACGACTGAATATGGTGACAGCGATGCTTCAGCAAAACCACTCTTCTCAGCGTTATACAACAGCGTCAACCAGCATGGCTGACGGCGGCGAGGCGGGTGAGATTATTGAAACAAGCAGTGGGCCCGAAGAAAGCTCTAGATTCTTGTCCTCCAATCAACCCGTTACAGCAATTGGGTAAATTCATGCATGCTGCGTTGCTTTTACATTTTGTATGCCACTTATTTATATGTAATGTTAGCTGTTGCCCAAATGTGAAATTTCACAAACATTTGATCACTAAGGGCACTGCAAAATTAATGGGCATTTTATATGCCAACCTTCATTTTTAGAGAGATCCATTCGGGCAATTTTATTATCTGCTCCATATTCTCTAAAATCTTAATTATTTTTAACTAGCAAGCTTTCTCCGCTCAAATAGACTCTTACAGGGTGATTATGAAACTTTCGTAACAGATTTTTGTCGATAGGATGACCAAGATGTTGTGTCCTCTAGTTTGGTTGCAGTTTCCTTTCGATGTATATTAGTCATTTGACCTTGTTTTCGCAACTTTGTCATATTGGGAGGAAAACATAGAGGAACGCACCTAATCCGGAGTTCATAATATGCATGATAATTTCCAGAGTTGGAACGTGAACTTGGCATATTTCCAGACGTTTAGACGGTATCGTAGTCGGCATCGCCAATTAATCTTGACATTCTCAGCACCATACTACAACTCGTCATAGAGACAAATGAAGTCAATCCCTTGAACGTTTGTGCTTTCACTCCTCTTTCTGTTCTGGCCCCTCTATCCATTCCTTACCCTCTTGTCTCGCCTTCGTCTTATCACAACTTCTGACATTTATATTCCACAAGAGATGTACCCTTTTGGCGAATTTACCGTGGTGTCATCACACCTGCTGTTTGCCTTGCTACCCTGATCCGGTTCGTACCTCCCTTTCGGATCTGTCTCATGGGCCCGTAGATGCCTTTCTTGCCTTTTTGGTTGACCGATTTCATTCGGTTGCAGTCCCAGTGTACTTTTTACTCTAGGCGCTATTTTACAAGTCTTTGGGAGTACGCACAATCTCGCCTCATCTGCAGAGCGCCCAGTCTATGATTCCCATACTTGCGGAAATTAAACATTGACCTCACACATCACCTTGATTGAACACG